CTGATTTTGGGGTTCAAATATGTCAAAATATTACTGAGGTAGTTGTAAGATCAGATTTTAACTCACCAACAAAAAGATACATCAAAAATTGTTGTTTTTTTTTTGTCCTTTTACATCAAGTGTTAATATTTGGGACAAGGTCACTAAAGCATCGCAATCTGGATCGAAAATAACTGCCCTTTTTTTTGATTTGCTGATTTCGTTGGCCTGTGTAATTATAGACAATGGTTGTCACAAAAATGTCCCTAAACAAGGGCTAAAAATGTTATCACAAAAATATTTATCGGTACCTGTAAACACTTTCACTTTAATGAAAGGAATAAACCTTACATAAATAGTTGCGGTTCACTGATTCTGAATAAAGTTATCAAAACGAGTGCATTCGTGTACCGTGTGTTCTAATTTTATCTCGTAACCCCACTGTTGCCATGTCATCCAATGACAATGTTATGGTTCGTATAATTTTGAACAACAAATAAATATATATCGTCTGATTATAGAGTTCTGCGTTAAATATTAATCTGCAAAATTCATGTTTAACAAATTTATAAGCCGACGTATTTTGAGAACTCCATAATAAAAGTAAATAAAGATAAGTTTTCTCGATAACAAATCAAAGAAAAATAAAAATAATACACGTATATGACACAAGCAGGCAACTTGATTGGTGTTCTATCAATAATGGTATAAGGAGAAATTAATAAATGAAATCATATTGCAGGTACACTATTTCGAAGGAATTTTCCGTTAGGAAGTTTATAATACCAAAAAGTTACAAACAAATAAATAAATATCAACATTTCGTTACCTTAAATATGAAAAGATTCCAAGGTGATTGTAGTAGGCAAGCTTAGTTCGCTTCTTATATCCGGTTAAATCGATTCTTTTGTTCTTTAACAATCTGTATTACCATTTTATGCAGGTAACCGACTGCGAAAGGTTATTAAGTGATATAAGTGCAAGATAACTTTAAAAAATTAGCGGCTTATGAGTACAAAAAGGTTCTTGTTAGGAAATCATAAAAAAATTAACAAATAACTATATGTTCGGTTTGCGAGTTAAGTCATTAAGAGCAATTAGAGAGAGGCATATTATGTACGTTAGAGTATAATTAGAGCATGTACTACAACAGAATATGAATTGTAAACTTGACCTTGTTTTTTTTGTGGGCACACAATAATCATAATTCGCAGTGTAAGACTATCAAAATTCGAATCATAATTTTGAACATAAAGTGGTGTTATATATTTTAGTGGAACTATAATAACTTAATAGTAGTTGTTCTATGTTAAACGTACCATACCATTGCGATTGTGGTACATATTGGAAATTGCAGCCAAAATTTAATCGTTATAGAAGCATGCAATAAAAGAATCATAGTATGATCATTAAATATACTTAAAAATGTAGGGATGAGTTACAAAGATAGGAGAGTGATACTTAGTTTGTATAAAGAGCAACAGGCAGTTATAGAGCTAGGGATGCAACGTAGAGAAGTAAATATTAGGAAGGGAGGCAGAAACAGGAGTTAGGAGGGGTATAGGTAGACCTAGATTAGATTACTGTTCGCAAATAGTTAAGTATGTGGGCTGTTCTAGTTTTAGGGAAATGCGAAGTTTAGCTTAGGATAGGAAAGAGTGGAGGTACATGTCCAACCAGTCTTAGGACTGACGACCTTATGATGATGAATCATTAAAGTAAGAAACAGAAGAATACTAAGGATCTTTTGACGGGCATAACACTGCTGTCCTTAAAGAAGTCATAATAAGTCAGTAAACCGTCCGCGAGTAAATTATTGAAACATTTTGATAGATCTGATGACTTTGGTGTTCAAAAACCGAAAACCGCAAGAGCTTTGCACCTGGTGGTAGTGGCAGCAAACAACAACTTCACTACAAACGACTGCCCAGCCAAGACGAAGCTTTCACGCAGCCTGTGCGATGGCTTAATTAATACTGGATAGGTAACAAGAACAACAGTGTGACCAACAGTAGCGCGAAAAGTTTCCCTGAGGTTCTAGACCATTAGAAACTCTACTATTGGGATTAGAAGTGTAAGACGCTAATCTTTTGTTCTTTTTTTTACCTTTCGTAGTATGTGATTATTTATCGATACAAATATTATGAAATAAATGAATCATCTCTTCTCTCACGGAAAAGAAAGAAATTAAAATTGCGCAACATTATTTAGTCGACTGTTATCATGGATAGTTGCTTTTGTGATTTGTGTTACGAATCGCAGAGTAATCTTTATGCTAAAATTTGGATACTAAGTTTTTATTATTTACTAAGTTTTACCGATGTAGGATGATTTAATTCATTCAAATAATATGAAGCTATGACCGTAATTTCGATGTAAACGTATTTGTATTTCTTTACGATTGTCTTGAACACTGTGGTGAGACTCTGCCCTTCAGTGTTTATCTAATTATTTTGAGTCAAACTTATGCTAGCAATTGTACTGTCGTGAGACTCTGCCTTTAAGTACTGTAATGACATAAATATTTGCAATGAGGTATTTCGTGAGACTCTGCCCTAATACCTATTGCACGTTCGAAATATTTGATGGAATGATTGGAGTGGACACTTCGTGAGACTCTGCCCTTAGTGTCTACGCACACTCAGCATTCCTGGAGTAGTCACTGTGTGACATTTGCCCGTAACTACTCTCAAAGATAATCTTAAAGAAAACGTTAAAGTACTCGATTAATTAGTAATAATTTCCAAAGTGGGATCTCTATAAATAATATTCTTTTCCTAAATTAAAATCGTAATACTAATAGTCACATTATTTCCTTAGTTTTCTTTGGCACATTGATTGCTCAGGTTGGTATATTTCTTTATTTCAGATAAGGCCATGTGTCACCTCGGCGACCAGATGTCGAACTCCTCAGTTAAACTTTAAAATTATTCAATAATATTCCTTCATATATTCACATGATGCAATAGTTTATGTAAATAAAAAAAAAGTGCAATGAAATTGCGTATTCGATGTCTGCCTTCTTTCCTACTGTTACAGAAGTTTTACAGTATATATATATATACAATTTTGTATGAAATAAAAATTCAGCTAAGCTTAGAAAGTCTAAAGTTTGAGAAAAGAAATGACAATAGTATCATACTTTCATATTTCCTTAATTATATTTTTTAGCGTATGTGCTACTTTCAAATAACAATGCACATACCGACCAAATTGTAACATTCAACTAGCAGTTTGAAATATATAAACCTTAAACTACAATTTTTCAATTTAAAAGCTCGTTTTTACGATGATTGTTACAGCAAATGATTAAAAGACATTGTAGGTAGTTGAGCAAACTGCCGCCGATAAGATTTTAAGTACCCATCTAATAGAAGGTTGAATCTCCGATCGGAGAACATTCGAGCGCGCGTTCTAACTTTTGATTGGTCGTCGGGGGTTGACGAATGCGATTAAAAGTAAGCGGGTAAGTTGAAAATTAAATCACAAAACTGAAGCAGCGGCAAGCACCCGAATTTCCACCACTACATGTAAATCCGCGCGCACACACGAAAATCACTTTAAACTTTTCGCTACGTGTGCTGATGTCCGACGCTTGTCGGACTCAACAGAACGGAAACGTGACACTTGAGAGGCAGCGGTGCCCCACATGGAATATCCCATCAAAAAGCACAACTACTATAACTTTACCATTTGTTACACAATTGACAATTGAAAAACTCCATTTATTCCATCATTCGACTCAATAATAATAATAATATCTAACATTTACCATTTTCTCCCGCTACATGTCGCTGTTACTGTGATCCTAAGGTTCGACAACAGAATAGCAGAATAGTAAATTCACATTTTTTTTTTTTTAGTTTATATCATTAAGTTTATGGATTACTATTGTTTAGGTCTTTATAAAACTCGTCATGTGAATAATCATAACTTCATCTTATTCTGATTCTGGGGAATGCAATTTACCAACGAAGTTAAAATTTCTTTCATATCTAACAATCTAATCTACAAAAAAATATCTGTAAAAGTATAAGATACGTTTTCTCAACAAACAATAGAAAAAGTACATAAGCATTTACAGTATTGTTATTGTGACTTTAACAAAAAAACCATTAATAATTTTCATTAAAAATTACACATATCCAGGTGGTTATACTGATCTTTTTACATTTCTATAACTACATGACACGCATCTCTTTTTTAACTCTGACATAAGCTGCTCTTATTTCCATGTGCAATACATTGCATAGGAAGGAAAGTACTAATTAGATTCCTTAATAATAAATTGCTTAACCGGCTTAACCTCAAACGAAATTTAAGGGTAAATAGATCATACGTGTGGCTCCCGCTATTCCTACAATTTTCCCCATTCATTTTTACCTAAATCATAAAATGACATCAGACAAAACAGTAAACAAATGAATAAATATAGAACACAGAGTGCAACTGCAGACGTTTGAGGGCATTCAGTTCTACTTTAAATATAAGTAGTCAATTAAGCAATGAATTATGCGCGTTTATCCTAGTATTTATATATATATTTATCCTGCGCCTGTTGCCTTGCAAATATTTTTACCAGCCTTCCAAAATTTTTAATTATCTAAACAACTGGGTTTAAAGAAACCCCTAAAGGAAATTGGGATTCTTCAATTACTGCTTGATAAATGCCACTACCACTGTGATGCTAGTGCATTGCATTTGTCTATGAAAAAAAAAATAATTTTTGCTTTCACCTATTTACCTAATTTCCTGCAGTAATATAATCTATTGTCAAATCCTTTTGAATGCACATTGTTTTACATCGTTGCATGCAAAAGTACTCATATCAAAAAAGATAGGAGAATTAACGTTTAATACTATCGAATAAAAATATCAAAACCGTCAGTTTATTTTGTATCAAACGGATTAGCCACTTCCGTTATCAAATGTGACGATGATGGGGATTAACGAGATTACAACGGAGCTTAGATGCATCCTTATTATGGTTTAATAATAACTAAACTTCAGTTAAGTTGATGTTGAATAGATCGCCAGTATGGCTGTTTCAGAGAATACGCGGAAGTTGAACGGAACTGTTAATCATTAAATGACATTTTAACGAGAAAAACAGGATTACAGCGAATCCGCATCAACTAAATTAGATTTCATTTGCTGTACCTAAGTGTCTCCCTGCGTCAATTGTTGTTAAATCCAATACGGCACATGCTCGACATGTGACGCTTCGCTTCATGGTATGTCCAAACACAATACAATGACTGTAGGTTTTGAATAGGTATGTTTTTGTATATGTATATATATAATTTGTACTTACAGTTGAACAACAATCACAACTAAAATAAATAATTAAAATATCAATTCACACAGATTTGTCGATTAGAGTGAGATATGATTCTTGTTTAACTTTGTCACGGAAATTTTTTAACATTATTTTTAAGAATGAATACCCATAACCAATTAGCATCATCAAGTCGTCAGTCCTAAGACTGGTTGGACACGCACCTCCATTCTATCCTATCCTGAGCTAATCTTCGCATTTCTCTAAAACTAGATCAACCCATATCCTTAACTATTTGCGAACAGTAATCTAGGACTACCTCTACCACTCCCAACTTCCGTTTGTTCCTCTATGTCTCTGACTAGACCTTCAAGCCTGAAAAGGTGTCCTACTAACCTCTCTCGCCTATTTCTTATTAACTTCCCTAGAGTCCTCTGTTCTCCTATTCTTTCTAATATCTCTTCATTTCTAACTTTCTCTATCCACGGTATCCTCATCATTCGCCTGTAACACCACATTTCGAACGTTTCTAACATTTTCTTTTCCGCCGTGGCCACCGTCCATGTTTCGTACAGTGTCGCGCTCCAAACATACCCCTTTAACAATCTTTTTCGATGTTCTAAATTAACCGTTCGCGATCATAGAAGTGACTTCTTTTTATACAAGACGACTCGACTTTACGCTACCCTCTGCTTTATAGCCCTCTCCTCCTCCTTCCGTGCTGACTTATCTGACATCCTAGATACCTAAAATCGGTAACTTCTTCTAGTTTTTCGTCTCCTATTTTTATATTCGCTCTTTCCCTACTTTTCCTTGCATACTAGTATTTTTGTTTTACTATTATTTATTTTCAGACAGTAGGTACTGTTTTGTGAATACCGCTTCCATTTTATTTAAATCTAAACCAAATAACAAAACCAATTAAAATAGGAATGCCACATGAAACAAATCCAATATCTATATAAAAATATTCAATGACTGAAAAGCACATTGTCAGAAATAACGATTATAAAATCTTAACACCCAGATTCCGGATGAAATTAAAAGGAGCGACAAAAGTATCTCTTGGTTATAAGTACGTAAGAGCAATTTTTTGGAACGCGGATAACAGTTATAATACCTATATTTCAATTAGCACTTAATGTTATCGTCAAGCATGGTGATTTAATGACGACTATTTTCGCTTCCTTTATAACCCCTTCGTGCGCTATTAACGACTTGCTGGCGTTTTTATTACATCACGATCCTACGCTCCCTGGCTCCTCTCCATCCCATCCATGCACTCATTGTCCGAAATAAGGCCTTGAACTTATTAGTTCATGTGCTTGGTTGGCCTTTTTTTTGGTCTTTTTGCAATTTAATCGTTCACGTTCGCAAATAGGCTCTAAATTCGAAGAGACCCGGACCGGTTCAGAAGCTGCATGGACCAGTTTTGTAGAAAGAGAAGGGAAAACAAAGATTCGGTCAGCTGCTCTCTCCACGCTACTGCTGTTCGATGTAGACGGATGAGTCAAACGAATGTGAAAGGCCAAAAACTTACCATGGATAGAGTCCGAGTTACTTTATATTACATACACACATAGTATGGGTACACATACAAGTATACAAATTATGAACAGTTCACCCTACGTAACTTTTCAAAGACGATCCTTAAATATTCGCTGTTTTTGTTCTTTTCTTTCAGTGACTCGAGAACCCTAAGTAAAAGTATTAGACTAAAAGGGGAAAATTTGAAGAATAAATTCGAATTTTAAGAAGCCAGGTGATATAAGAAACGTCGACGATGGGAAAGCAGTTTTGCATGAAAGAGAACAAAGTGAATCTAAAACAATGATAGTCAGAAAGCGTTTCTTTACACATTCGTTTAACCGAAATAAACCCTTAATGTGTACTATCTTCAATTCATGAACACTAATGAATATGTAATTCCATAAATGACATTAGATAAATTTATGTACATTTGTACCTGCTTAAAAGTAATTCAGAATTAGAGTTTGTATATTAAATTAAAGGTCTTGGCGTTCTACGTTAATTACAATATAGACGGTTCACGCGTACCTGACCAAAACGAAAACCATAACAAGAAGACATGCGTTTTCATGAGATTTTTCGAGTTTTATTAGTGAGTGATATCAAATGAGAGACACATTTGTGTTAATATGTACTCAAAACTCAAAAACATTAACAAGGTGAATTGATTTGGTCATTTTTAGGAATCTCTAGTGTTTCAATATTGCTAATATAAATCTTTGTATAATCACAAAGCGAATCATCAAAATCCATTCGGGTTACGTTAGTTTTGAAAAGGGTTACTTACTGTAACACGGGAGATGATTTAATTTAAATGTTCTTTGATTAAAAGGATAAAAGTGCAGGTAGCGACTACAATTATGTTTTTACGATTCTCCGAAAAACAGTTTTTATATGACAGATAAAACTCCAAGCTCATCATTTAATGTGTACTCAGTTCAGGTACAAATATAAGTGCTTTACTTTACAAAAGTAATTAGTTTCCTTCTTGTAAGTGAATTCAACCATTTTTATGGATGCAAGCATCAGTCAAAGTCAAACATTTTACCTGGAGTATCAGCCAAGGTAAATTAATTTTTAAAAATGGCAGTCGTCATATTTTTAGGATGTCTTAGCAAATCAACCAAGCACCAGCAAATTCGTGCGGTTGCCGATGTCTGCACACAAAATGAAAATTTATGTAAGTACACAATATCCTATTGACTTCAAAAGTTTCTATTTATTTGTCGCACTATAAAACACAAAATACCTTAAATATATCTTGCAATTATGTATCTATCTACATATAAGAAAAACATTACGTTAGTAATCAGTGAGCACTCGACATTGTCTGACTTGAATGGCTATTTCAAATAGGTTGGTTTTGAGTGTGTGGCGCGCGCGCGTGTAAGGCATAAAATTCACCGTTCTTTCTGTGCATTTTGGTGAAAATTTCATCGGCTTCTGTGAAAACTGTCCTAAACTAGTTAAAATCTTTTGAACAAAGCGTAACATCTCTCAAAATTACATCATATTTTTCGAAAGATGATGCTGATGCCCTATGATGATTGTATGTAACAGAATATCCGTACGTTAGGTTCTCAATTCGCCACTGGTATATTAGTTAGTGAATACATAAGTGTAAAAATAATTATTATTTTTTAATAAATTGGTATGGGTCTTATTATTTATTAATTCAAAAAAGAAAAACGAAAAACAGCTTTGTATACACTTTAATTGATATTTTATGAAAAAAGCAGGATGCTAAAGAAAATTAGATCGTGAACAGACTACGAAATTTTTGTGCGGAACGTGTAATTTTTACAACCCCCTGCGTTATATGCATAATAGCATATGTCAACGAATTATTCGCAGGCAAAATAAACCGCATTATTATTCATAACGGCTCACGGCTAGACGTGATAGCGATGCAAATCCAGCCACATGCACAACTGGAAATTGTATGTAACGAGCTTTTCATAACCAACTAATATTATTATTACTGTTACACCGAATAAAATGAACCCCGCTTCCTAAAACTCAACTCACTTTCGAACTTGTGGTTTGAAGAACTTGGGGACTTTTTTTAGGTGATGTAATCCTCCTTTTATGACAAAAAACAGAACCTCGATTACAGTACGGTCATGAACGTTCATGCATATAGTCAATTTCAAACATGTACACAGCAAAAAGGCTGGTAATTAAGAGTTACCTAATGAAGTGAACAAAAATATTTACTGAAAAAAAAATTATTATATTAAGTACTTATCGAATTTGACCAGTAGAGAATTAATAAGAAATCAATAATTGTAATTGAAAAGCATGCCAAGCTTATTAAGTAAGCTTAATGACCTGATGAGCAAAAGCGATCTATTCAAATCACCCCCAAAGTGGTGGTGTTTACGCAAATATACAGAAGGGATTTACCTTATTGTAAATAACAATAAGTAGCTTATTAGCTTGGATAACTGTAATCCCGTGCCTGCGTAGAGCAAGATCGTATTCCTACGTTTAACCGCTAGCCTAATAAACAGATGAGCGTCTCTTGTAATTTGTAAAGCACAGTGTCTTGCCATACACAGTGTCTTGCCATGTTTGACTGTTTTATTCCGTGGATGATCCTAAAAATATTTTAGCTCTAAAAACATATTACGGAAATCCTATGACCTTGTTAGTTACTTAACAGTGGATTTATATGCAATATTAATTTGAAATCATTTTTTCGGTTTTTTATTTACCCACTACAAACTACCTCAAATTAATGAGGGAAAAATTGAGGTAGTTTGTAGTAGGTAAATAAAAAATCGGAAAAAAATGATTTCAAATTAATATTGTGTAACTTACATTACGAAATAGGAATCTAGAGCGAAGAAATGACACNCGACGGATCGTTAACCTTGTAGGTCGGTTGGTCGTGGTTGCTGTTGTCACCTCTCGTAGTTTAGTGGTAGAACATTGGTGCGTAAAGCCAAAGGTCCCGGGGTCGATTCCCGGCGGGGGTGTGACAACAGCAACAATTTCTCCCTCATTAATTTGAGGTAGTTTGTAGTGGGTAAATAAAAAATCGAAAAAATGATTTCAAATTAATACTGCATATTACGGAAATATGTAAACTCCTCTTAGTTTCGAAACTACTAAACCTACAGTTAAAAAAAAAACAGGGAATATAGGAAAATAGCACTTTCTACATTCTCTTCAGCATGCATGCCATGGAATGCGTTGAACAATATGAATATTTCGAGTTAAACGTAGGCATACTAATGAGTATCACCCTACCTATACTGCAAATATATAAACAATAAACGTACGCGTACAATAAGCATGCAGATATAGTACACCGATAGGGTTGCTTCGATCTCTTCCATATTCGGATACGAATGAGGAGCGTAATGCTGCTGATGTTACCGTTTGTGGTGGCAGAGAAGAGGCAGCTACACGCTTAACTCTTCACTTGCGCACTTACTACCTTAAGTAAGGTCATAAGAAGGATCATTGAAAACATTTAAACGCACTCTAAACAGATGCTATCATTTTATATACTTTTTTTGCAAAATTACATTTATTTTGGGTCAGAAGCAAATGACGATACCATCGAGAAAATAGGTGAAGAGGCTCCTTACCTACATCACCTGATTAAATATAAGATGAAAATATCAGTACTTATACCGAACATATCTAGTCCTATCAGTTATTAGCAACTTTTCGTTCGTTCTAGAATTTCAATGGTACATATACCTTCAACAATGTGGGTCATATAAATAATACCTAATTGATAGACTGACAAGAGACACGGCATGCTAGTGTCTAGCTACAACGTAGAGAATGTCCTCTAGGAAATTAATTTATTCTACACGTACGCAATAATTAATAGATCACTCATTACCTTTAATAACTGTGCTCGTTTTGTCGAAAGATACACAATGCCCGACCCTTGTATATCTGCAGCAAAACAACACACTGATAACATTAAAATTAGACGTGTTAATCCAACAATTTTGTTACGTTATACAAAAGGACTCCAGAGGGTGAAAGTTTATTCTATAGTTGCTATCAAATAAAATATGTTGTAGAAAGCAGCGTCTATCTGTTGTAAAGCTTTATACTCTTATTCTTCACGCAAGAATTACTTTATTCAACTTTTGTGTTATTGCAGGTACCCTCCTGTTAGGAACGAGATAAGCAGTTGTTATCATAAGCCCTTATCGATTCACGATAGCATCTCCGCTAACTCTTTTTAACAAAATTACAAAAGGGAGAATCCAATTCAGCATCCCTTTCATTTACATAAGTGTTTATATTTATGTAACAATAAATGTGAATAAGCACATTGATTAATAAACGATTTGTAGATGAGTATGAAACTTTTGATGACTGTAATAACAGTGAGGCCAGATCATCTTTTAAAACGAGAATTAACAGTCATATTAAGAATGCAATGTTCACAAAATCGTAATGTTCTTTAAAATGAGATAGAGGGAAATAAATAATAAAAAAAATAAAAAAATAAAAATAAGTATTAATGATAATATAAAAAACTATTCAACACTTATTGTAGGGCAAATTTAACGTTTTTTTATGAGTGCGTTTTAAGGTTTTTAGTGATTTCAGTTACGAAATAAATTTTAAAAATTAGTTATTTCACATTTCACTGTTAAGTCTACTACGGGGCTACATTTTAGTGGAGTACAACCAAAAAATTATTCTAAATTTACCAAATAGCTCTTTCTAGAACGATAAACGGCTGTAGACAAGACAATTAAAATTGATTTTCACTGTAACATTATGACCAAATTAAATATTCTTAATCTTAAGAAACTAAGTAATTTTTTTAGTTCAAAATATGTAATCGATGATTCAATGAAAATTTTATTTCTGTGTGGGTATTGACACACACAAAGAGCTATAAAATTTAACAATACATTATCGATCGTGACCACTTTATACGACAAAAAATCAACAAAGGTAATTGTTAAACATAATAATATAGCGATATATAAACATCTACAAAAATGACATTTTGTGGAATTCTTTAAACTCCTCTTTATTACGCATTACATACATACGTAAGAATAACAGAAAATTTAATTCGCAAACCTAATAATATTGGTAGATAACAAAAACACGAATAACTTTTACAGCCCATCCAACAGGAAAAAATTTATGTTAAAAATCCTGCAATTACAAAGAACTTCGTAAGAACAATTAAACAAAAAAGATCATTTCCAAGACTAAAACCAAGACCGAATAGATATTAACATTAAATAAAGGAAATATACCACTCTTTGGAAAAGGGGATCTACAAGAATGTCCTCGGAGTAAGTGTTCCTGGGTCTGGATAACACATAGTTGAAATATAGAGACAAATTAATTTTTTTGATATTTTTACTTCTTTCAAGTACCTACCTTGTACTAGTTTGTTCTCTAAAAGGTCAATTTAAGCGTTGAATTAAAGGTTAATTTATGCAATGGAGGAAAGGTAAGTTCTCGAGTTTTCATAACCCACAACTATCGACTCTATTTTCTTTAGAAGTCATGACAAGCTCGCATGTATGACAGAAAATTTCAGCACTTAAGACAATTACTATGTCGGTAAATAGACAAATTTGTGCTTAGAATTATTAAAAAAAGTAATGTCAGATTAAATGAACAAGACCAAGATTTAATACGCAAGACCAAGACCAATACCAAGACTATGACAAGTTCTTGCCTTCATCATCGCTACATTACAAATAGAAACAAAAAAACGTTTAAAAAGAGAGCATCAGATAAATATGAATTGCTTAAGAAAATTGATTTTACAATGTAATTTTTATAAGTACCGAAACATGCACCGCGGTTTCAATATTAACATAGTATAGGGTCGTCCAAAATCGTTCCGATAGCGTTATCTTATTTATGGGTGAATTATATTCAGAGAGAACCGACGAGATACGGGGTAGTTTATTGTTAGAAGTTACAGTTATAAAGTCTGTGCAAATTGCTATGAGACTGCACTTTCCTATCATCGATATGCACCCCTTACAAAGTTTTGTAAGTTCCGGATTCGATCAATGGTCCGTATCACTAAGATTTACTACATCCGCCGATACAAACTAGTTGAGGAAAGTAGGGACACTGTACATTTTCATTTCAAGACATTACTGTCAATGTTATGTTCTCTTCACATGACTAATACGAACGACTGATAAGGAAGATTACTCCTCGCATAGCACACAACGGGAAGTATTCTTATAATAAACTTTATACATTACTGTCGACATTGAAAACGTAGTGAAAAAGATTAATTGAACTGAACTAAATCAGCGAATGAACTACTAGTGTCAACCCTAATTCTCTATCACTTGTCTCTTATTTAATCGCAATGGAATCCTCGGTGATAAAAACTATTTTTATGTGATATTTGGTACCAAACTTTCACTTAATTTTTATTTAATTCTTAACAAGTTTATTTATCATTATCATTAATCCTTCTTCTGAAGGTGGCCTTGTAGGTCGAAACTTGTTAAGAATTTAATAAAAATTAAGTAAAAGTTTTTAAAAAGTGTTTTTTTTTACCAGATATCATTACGATAAATTTCATATAGTAGAGGCCAACTCTATCAATTTTCTAAAGAATATTTTTATGTGGTTATCGTATAGTACGTTTCATTCAGATAAATCGCAGCTTTAATATGTACGTAAAACATGCAGTAGCTGATTGTATGTCGCTGTCAGTAGATTTTGCTGCCAACTGTAGTATTTCACAGTACATTCAGTAGAACTTGAATATAGGATCACCAGGTTTCATTAGTAACCGAATTTGAGAACACAAACAAAATTAATAAAGAACATCATTAAGTTCTTGACCACCAATTTATGGAAGCAATATCCAATGTGAATCGTTCTTTTAAAGTTATTAGTTCTCATCAGCACAACATTAGCAGTTTTGATAAATCACTGACAAAAATGATAACTCTGCATGTATTTGCTCTTAAGACTAGTTACTATTTCATACTTGGCAAGTAGATGCCTTCGTAGAGCTTCTATATCGCAAACTATTAAACCCTTGATCAGCAAATCCGCAGCTTGCTTGTACGATGCACCGCCAGTTTGGTAGGTGATTTATTGATATAACCTATGGTGCTCCGATAAGAACCCATAACTTTGAAATCGCGATTGTAAACTAAAAATTTAATGTTCTACAGTACATAAAATAGTTTCTCGAATTATATAAACGATACAAATATCGGAAAATACTTTATAAGGCGATTATTTCCGAATTTGGGTAGAAATATTTGGCATACGTAGAGTGATGTTCCATGGGTTTAGGTGGGAAAGGATTTCCTGACTGGCTTACTGTAAAACGCTATGCACCATTTAAAACGGTACCAGATTCGGAAGGTTGCGTATTCGTATTGGATTTAAGATATCACAACGTCGTGGTTATTTGCGTGGTTCTCCAAACGTGGTTATGGATTTAGCAGGCGAAAATACTGTCCAAATGTCTGGTTTGACCTTAAGAAAGCACATGGCAACGACAACATACTTCTACGTGTTGTCTTCTCCTGCCGTAACCATACAAACCTATGCATTTGAACAGCATTTTCGCGCGCTGGATACATATCCACATTTGAAGGAGTTAGGAAACAACGATATCAATGTTCGAACAAGTTATACTAATTCCATCACCTTTTGTTAGGTGGTTCTTGACTTATATAGATAAAACCAGATATTATTGCAATCTTCCAAATGTGATACTCTAAATCTGGACGGTAGTGAAAAGCGTACCAAGTTTTCTTCAAAGGTTCTCGAATTTGATAACATACGGCCAAACACACATCTTTAGACATGTTTCATTGACAAGCATTCTTTAATAACTCTTTTACCATTTAATTTCTGCTTCATCTCAACTGAAGATAAAAAGTTTAGCTTGCAAAATAATGAGCTATTTTTAAGTACAACAGGCAATGAACAAGCATCGAGAGATAATTTAACGCTTTCAGATTCCGGTAATTCCCTATTTCAACGTTATCGACTGGGCATATGTATGGAGCACAACTGCAACGACACAAGAGAAATTGGAATTCATTTCCACTGATACAGATAGATAAAGTTTTCCTCTATTCTATTGCACCCGCCCGATCAACGCTTACATTTGAACAGTAAAAAAATAACAATAATAATAGAAAACCGATATCTAATTGTACAATTGAACAATACAATTAAGCGTTGGTATGGATAATCAACAAAGGCTTCTATCAATTCGAAATCAGTTTCGGTAAGTGGCAACGATATTGATTGTGTACGGCATGTGTGTATATCGAGGTCAAAGACACTATTACTTATTAGTGCTTACATCTGATATGGTCGGGACAAATCTAACCTACGCCTTGTCTGCTTAAAATTGCATCCTGCAACCTACGCGATACTGTTGCTTCAATAAGCCGAGATGATGGTTCGAAGAACACGTCTCACTCGTCAACCCAACAATGGCCACTTAACTAGCGTCAACGGGAGGCGAGCAGTTACGATACGGAAACAAATTAGTACAGTAACTAAATTTCGCCAATTCAATTAGGATTTTTGTTTTTATGGAATTAAAATTTCTATTTTGTACATTTTGATGGTAAATGTCTACATTATGGCCCCCACTCCCGAAGGAGGTGGGGGTGGATGGGATCGAAAGAGGAGGTCTCCCCCACCACTGTACCATAAAAAGTTCGTGGCGGTCTCACCCCCATAAAAAGTTATGGGGGTTAGATGGGGGTGAGGGTAGGGGGGATCGAAAGAGGGTGGTCACCTGAGTAAAACCCCATAAAAAATTTGCGGCGGTCTCACCCCCATAAAAAGTTATGGGGGTTGAAAGTTGATTATTTTGACAATTTTCATACACTATAATTCAAATAAAATTCAATAAAAAAATTATTTTCAAGCGGGTGGAGGTGGGGGATCGAAAGAGGGTGGTCACTTGAACAAAACCCGATAACCTAACCTAACCTAACCTACCCTATTGATAAAGATATTTAAATAATGTTTTATATAACTTTCTCAATATTTTTATGTATTTTTCATTAGTTTTACCATTGAATATTGTTTAAGAATGACTATATAAATATTTACATGCCTAGAAATGTATAAAAATTGGCATATTTATTAACTTTGAACCCTTATAACTTTTTATGGGGGTGAGACCGCCACGAACTTTTATGGTACAGAGGCGGGGGAGACCTCCTTCTTCGATCCCCCCATCCCCATCCCCGAAGGGGGTGGGGGCCATCATCTA